CGTGCGACATGGTGGCTTTGTTTGTGAGGAGAGTTAATTTTTTCTCGACCTCGTCATAATATTGTAGCAGAGAGAGATTTCCCTGCCTGAGGGTGCCCATCTCTTGTTCTATGACATGCATCGGTCGCTTGTCACTGTATGTGAAATCGAGGCGATTTATAATCGCATCAAAATTCAATACAGTGCCAAACGAAGATAGCACGGCATCAGCAGGGCCCCTAATTTTGCTCCTAATAATAATTACCGCCTGGTAATGGCGTGAGCTATTTACATAATTTCTAAATATATAATACGCAGCTACTGCCGCTTGCCGCCAAGAGACATATGTCTCTTGTGCCCCCGTAAATTCGGGAAGGCATTTAACGGCGTCTAAGGGCTCGTTGCATTGAACATTGCCTGAGATATCAATCGGTTCATAAACTTTAATCTGGGGAGTTTCCATCTGGGCGGGTGATATCCGCGCCTCTGCCACCTGCCTAGCTAAGTTCTCTATAGTTCGGCGCATTTCATTCTCCCTGCGCTGGTCCTCGCCGGCCTTTTCTATTAGGGCGTTGGCGATAGCCGCCTGGATGACAGCCTGGAGCTGATCCGCGTTTATGGACATGTTTGTATTGGGAGCGGCACTGGTAGCCGCCTGCCTCGGTGCAGAAGTAATTAGAAGTCTCTCAGAGTCTGACTCTGAGTCGCTATTTTGTTTGGTATCCCTATAATCTAGGAATGACATGGGCAGCAATGTTAAATTCCATCTACCAAGAGTTGCATGCCTAAGCAGCTTTACATAAAAAAATTGTACAGCAAAGGGGCCGTGGCAGCTGGGCTGCCGCTATGGTAAACAAAGAAGCGAAGCTAACAGAGCCGAAATGTGAATGCGCGGTGTCGGGTTCGCGTACCGGCGCGGAGCGGGGAAGCAGTAAAAAAACAAAAAAACCCCAAGATTGTTGCAAAGCTAATACAGAGAATTTTAAGTATAAGCAAAAAACACAACGACACAAAAGGGCTAAATTAAATGCCCACAATTGGATGTGACAGCTCTGTCGCCAATAAAATTATTTAAATAAATTAACAATTTATTTATTTCCCAGCGGCGCTCTTGCGCCGAGGCTGAGATATTTAATACTATATTTATACTGTCTGATATATTTATATTTTTTTATCAATTAAAAATGCAAACAACACACAGAAGCAAATATAATAATAACGCATATAATTTCACAATTTAAAATTCCACAATGTCATCAAATAATGAGTATGTTAATTAATATTGTATTTATTTTTTTAAATTAACACCAAACAAATTATGGAAGCGGAGCTGCAGAAAGTATTCTGGCAGTGATTTACTTGTTTTATTTATTCGAGCTGCAGAAGAATATTCTGGCCGCGATTTATTTCTTTTATTTATTATAAGTTACACACAAATGCAGATACCGGGAAGTATAAGGACTGAGGTGCTCACTTACATGATCCCTATTATACCGCTGTGGGTACTTTTGCGTTGAGCGCCAATTAATTAATTATTTATCCCACGGGTCGTCCCTCGCAGTTGCAGCTTATCCAGGGGGGTGCGGGTGGCAAGGTTCGTCGCTGTGGTGGTTGGCCGGCTGGCCGTAGAATTCTCCAAGATGAATTACGAAGATTATGTTGGAAGGGTGACTGCCCTTCTTTACCTGCTGGCCTAGGGACTCAGACAGTTTTTCAATAATAAGAATTTAACGACGGTAGTCGGAGTATAAATTGTATGAGCGACAGCTCTTTATTCATATAAAGTCAAATCTAAACTGAAACTTAAAGCTAACAAAAAAGAGACTCATAGCGGCCACTCCAATGGGTAGTCTTTGCCGGCTATGCACGAGCTTCCGGCCAGACGCTGTGTCAGCAATTTGGCCGGAGCGAGCCTTCGGACGATCGGTCATTGCCGTCGCCCGGTTAACTTAGTTAACTTATTCGTGCAAAAGTATGTAACAGCTAGAAGGAAGCGTTTCCGACCCTATAAAGTATATATATTCTTGATCAGGTTTGTTTCAAACTGGTGCCACGCCCCCTTTAACGCCCACAATCGCTTTTATACGATTTTAAAAATTTAAATATTTCGGAAAAGTAAAAATGCAGTTTTATTGTGTTTATCAATACCTATCGAAATGTAGAAGAAATTTTTCAAATCGGACCATTCGTTAAAAAGTTATGCGTGATCAAAATTTCTATCTCCATCTCCCTCGCACTCCCTTTACCTGAGTAACGGGTATCTGATAGTCGGGGCACCCGACTATAGCGTTCTCTCTTGTTTTTTATTGCAGCATGCCATATAAGACTATTTTAGAAAGTGTACAGTGACGAACTTCCTCCCTTTTTGTATTTCTTGCTGTTGGACAAATATTATCCGTTTTATCCAAATAGGATGACAATATCGTATGTTCTATATGTGCTCATTTCTTAGTTTTAAAAAGTTTTACAAATTAGTTTGCTGCTCAATTAAGTCGTATTAATATCTAAAAGTGTTGGAGTATTTACCACATCATTTGGATAAATTATCCTATCCTATATTATTCTCTTCAGCTATTATATCCCGCTTAATATGGTCTAGTTCCATTAATGCTAACGCAACAATGGTGTCTTCGTTTGGCTTTATTATAGGCTGTGTGCCTTACTTTTTGTTTGAATGAACAACTCGTAAAGTCAATATACAGAAATCTATATAATAGAACCATAGATCTTGAGCTGTCTTTTTTAGTGTCACATGTTAGTGAGCCAGTTTCTTTTTGGCCCTTTTAATAGGCCCTTTTCCCAGGAAACGGGAAACCGTTCGAAACGGTTGGGATTTTAGACAAATGTGAAACTCCGATTCCCACAGAGCACATCCACCATCCGATAACAGCTGATCTGAACAGCTGTGGCTAATCATTCTATCCTGTTGCATTTTGCACAACATTTAAAATGAGCACAATAGCGCTATAAATGATACTTGGTAACAGACTGCAAGTGATCTACGCCAACAACCAAATCGGACTAAGGGATATTTTCACAGCCTTTAACAATTATTCCTATAGTTTACATACAAAAATAAGATTCGGATTCGTGTCAATAGCTTATATACTGCGCGTAATATCCTAAAAAACATCCAATTTTAACCGATTTCACCCTATTGTTCATATGGGAGCTATAGGATATAGACGTCCGATCGGCACGCGCTTTAACCCTGATCAAGGTATGCATAAAAAAATAAGATTTGGAAAGACGCATGTCAATTGCTTTTACACTGCGCGAATTATCTTCCATTCTTGAAAGTTATATCCGATTGTTCCTATGGGAGCTATAGGATATAGACATCCGATCGGTTTTTAAACTTGATCTGCGTATACATGTTTTCGGACGACTGTGAAAGTTTCAGATTGTTAGCTTTTAAACTGAGCTTGCAAACGGTATTGAAACAGAAGGACGGACGGACAGACGGACATGGCTATATCGATTCCCCTATTGATCCTGATCAAGAATATATATGGGGACGGGAACGTTTCCTTCACTGCGTTACAAACTTCTGACCAAAATTATAATACCCTCTGCAAGGGTAGAAAAAGGTGTCAATATTAAAAATAATATCACAAATAGAGGTCGAAAATCGGCAATAACAGCTCGTGACAAAATAATTCTAGACACACTAGCGGAAGTCTACGGTCAGCCTGCTCTGCGGCTCCTGCAAAGCGTGCAAAGATGGACCACAAGGCCGAGCTTGTGGAGATAGAGCTCGAGAAAGGCTGGAGGAGCAGCAAGCGCAGACCGAGATCATGTCATTGAATTGAGCTTGGCTGTCTGCCACCCTTGACATTAAAAATAAAATAAAATATGAAATTATAATAAAACAAAAAACTAACATATTTATATTTAATGACCTTGATTTGTTACCATTAAGACATTATTGGGCAATAGCTGTTATTTTTTTTTTTTTGAGGCTGGCAAAATTCTGCAGACATTAGACCGATTTTGTTGTCCGTGTAGATCACTTGCAGTCTGTCATTTATAGGGCTGTTGTCTCATTATACCCGTTACTCGTAGAGTAAAAGGGTATATTGTATTCGTGCAAAAGTATGTAACAGGTAGAAAGAAGCGTTTCCGACCATATAAAGTATATATATTCTTGATCAGGGTCACTAGCCGAGTCGATATAGCCATGTCCGTCTGTCTGTTTGTCTGTCCGTATGAACGCTGAGATCTCGGAAACTATAAAAGCTAGAAGATTGGCATTTTGCATGTAGATTTTAGGAGTTCCTACGCAGCGCAAGTTTGTTTCAAAATGGTGCCACGCCCCCTCTGACGCCCACAATTTTAAATATTTCGGAAAAGTAAAAGCGCAGTTTTATTGTGTTTATCAATACCTATCGAAATGTAGAAGAAATTTTTCAAATCGGACCATTCGTTAAAAAGTTATGCATGATCAAAGTTTCTATCTCCATCTCCCTCGCACTCCCTTTACCTGAGTAACGGGTATCTGATAGTCGGGGCACCCGACTATATCGTTCTCTCTTGTTTTAAAGTTCCTTTCCATCGGTATATTGTTTCGAACAGCCGCTGACATCTGTTATACTAGTCTAGAGTTTTGCGCTATTTTATCGCTGTTACAGAATGGAATTCAAACAGTCATGGAATTTCGATTTCAAGTGCCGTAAAAATAACGGTAAATAAACTAAGAAAATAAGAACATTCTGATTTGAATGAATTTAATATAAACACCTTTTAACGAGATACAACATTTTTGATATTAAAAGTTGTGTCCTAGTTCCAATTAAATATTTTCAATTTCTCGCCTGTGTAGTAAGGTAATTTTTTTTACATTTAAAAATAAAAAACGAAATGTACAACAATCTCTACTTATTATCACGTGCATTTGTTACTGAATAGAAAGAATCTAATGAGCCTCTTGATCGGTAATGCAGATGCGATGAGCTTATGTGTGAACAAACCTTTCTATAGTTATCGATAGGAAACTTGCGGTAGTGCGCGGGGCTATTAGTCCATCGCTAAATGACGGATTCGCATTCCCAGGCAGAATAAACAAAACAAAGGAAGTGGAATGGACGATGTAGAGGATATAAGGTTGAACCAGCAGCGGGTGCTGGCTGAGATCGCCACCCTGCTTCAGACCACCGTGGAACCAAGTGACGCCAACGCATTGGTGCTGAATCAGGAGATGCAGCGACACCTCCTGCAAGTCCGTGCTAAAATCCTGACTATTCTCCAAATAGTGCGGGCCCGTTTCGCCCGGAACGAGGAGATCCTGGTGCGCCGTCTGAGACCACGCTCTCAATCCCAATTCGGACTGGATTCCATCAATCTGAGTGGGGCAATCCTGCGGAAGGGTACGTTCCGCTTTAAAGGAAATCTATTCTTTCGGGACATCGATGGCAGGAGCTGTCCAAACAACGAAGATTACGAGAAGCGCTGCCACACGGAAATGTTTCCCACCGACTTCGACATGCACTCTCGCCACGTATGGACATTGCTAGACAAGAAAAACGTGATCATGGGGATCAAACAACAGGTGAGCAGGCTTTTTGAAAGAATGTGGAGTTCGGAGCTTGCGAAGTATTTAAAATTTATTCAGTTTTGTATACTATTTTATACCATACCTGTCTGTCCGTAAAATTTCTTTGCTCATTTTAAATTTTATTCTTTAAAAGCTAGTGACATTTATTTATTTTTATGCGGACCCAAATCAAATTAGAAGATCACACGGCTGCCTAATATGCTTACATCGGATTCCTAACTTTTCCTCAAAATGAAGAAGTACATCCTAAAGTTCGCTTTCACATTTTGCCGAAGCCATTCTGGATTTAAGTCTTCCATTAAACACAGAAGATTTCAAGATAACCATAACCAAACGCCAAGTTGTTCATGCTAATTTCATAATATTTTATTCCGTAGTGGTAACATAATTTGCACTTTCTCCATAAAAAAAAATGTAATCCAAATGTAAAAAATATGTTTCATATATACTTATACTTAATTTGTATACCCTTGCAATTTCAGTCAAAAGTTTGTAACGCAGTGAAGGAGACATTTCCGACCCTATAAAGTATGTAAATTCTTGATCAGCATCACCAGGAGAGTCGATCTAGATCCGTCTGTTCTTCCGTCAGATTCTTTGAAAACTAGTCCATCAATTTCAAATTTATCGAGCCGGATCTACCACTATATCATATAGCTCCCATAGGGACAATAGGAAAAAAAATTGTAAAAGTATAACTTTGTTTTTTATTTTTTTTTGTTCTTTGAGATTTGGTAATTTTTAAATTTAAATATTGAATTACGGTTTTAATTTAAAAATCGGAAATCTATATCTATAGCTCCAATAAGAAAATCAAAAAAAAAAAAAATTAAAAAATTTTATTTTGCGGGTTTTTATACATATAAAAATATTCCTTTAAGATATAGTAATTATTTACTATTTCAGAATAATAATTTTAGTTTTGTCAAAATCAGACAATAATATCATATAGCTACTATAGAAGCGATTGAGAAATGCAGAGCAGGCATTGAAATCAAAATGCAGTCGTTTTGTAGTAACTGCAAGGGTATAAATTCGGCTTCCCGAAGTTTGCTTCCTTTTTGTTTAACGTAAATTACATTTTTGTAATTTCCGACAGTTAGTTGACCACAGCACCCACAAGAAGAGCACTCTTGCAAGCGGCAGCCGAAAGCGGAAGCCAATCGAGAGGCACCAAAACACTCTGGTTAGTCTGCTGGCGGCGGCCGACAGCAGTTTTAGGATCGATTGGAACCAGATAAGCAACCTGGACGTTGAGTATCGACACTCTTCGTATGCCTGCGAGGCCATGTGGAGGGTATACCTGCACCCTGATCTGAAGCGCGACGATTGGTCGGCGGAGGAAGACGAGACCCTGCTAACGGCGGCCTCTGCGAACCGTATGCAAAACTGGGAGCTGATAGCAGCGTCGCTGGACCGGCGATCCGACTACCAGTGCTTCACTCGGTTCCACACGGCCCTACGTCATCTGCGGGAGCCAAAGTACAGCTCCCGCTGGAGTGAAGAGGACAACAAAAGACTCCTGGAGCTGGCTGAGAGAAATACGGCAAACGGCGTAATTAATTGGAAGAAAGTAGTGGAATACTTTCCGGGCAGGTGCAAGTCGACGTTGATTGGTCGTTACTACTACGTCCTCCATCCTAGCATCAGTCACGGTGGGTATCCTTAACGTTCTCGAATTAGCTAAATGTTATTCTGCTCTTTTAAAAACGTACTACTACCTATTTAAAGACATGTACATCGATAGATTTCCCCTGTAACCCTATTTTTTTCTTCCCAAGATTTTAATTTTTCTTTTATTATTGCAGAAGCCTTCAGTACCAAAGAGGATATGATGCTCTTCGCCGCCGTAGAGGAGTACAATGGTAAGTTCCACTGCTTTCCGCGTACCCTCTTCCCAAATCGATCTCTGACGCAGTTGCGTACGCGCTACCACAATGTCTTGGCGCAGCGCAACAAGACAGACTCCTGGTCGGTTCAGGACGACACCCAGTTGATGAGCTTTGTCACCGAGCATGGGGCCTCGCAGTGGTTAAACTGCGCAACGTTTTTGGGCAATCATTCGCGGACCAGCTGTCGAACCCGCTTTCTAGTCATAAAAAAATTCCTAGAAAAAAATCCAAACGCAAAAGTAGAAGATTTGCCTCGCCGACGATCGAAGAAGATGTCCGTAATTACTTCCGAAAACTGGGCGCAGCGTTTGCAAGAATGGCAAGAGGACCCGGAATCATTAGTTATAGCTGAACAGATTAAAGGCTCTTGGAAGAGAAGACTCACTTCTAAAAAGACTAAACTCGATCTTCAGGCAGAGAACTCATCCAAGCTGTCAAAAGTCGATATAGAGTTCTGCAAGTTCTTCATGTATGGTTACAATCTGCCGCTGACACTACCGACAATCTTCCCACTTCCGAAAGATGCTTACAATCTCGCCTTCGCGGTCAGGGCCCTTGCATATAAGCCACCGATCCGTTCCTCGGCCTTACAGAACATCTCAATGCCAAACGATCTGCTCAAATTTTACAATATTATGATAAGGAAACTACCCGATGAGAAGTGTGATTCAAAGAGTCCACTTCTGTCTCCTAACTGGTCGACGATGATAGGTTTTCGGGCTATGTGCATTCTCTCGGGAGATTGCCGCAAGCACGGTCCGGAAGCTCAACCTTTCGAGTATAATAAATCTGCACCCCCCATTCAGCTTTTCCGTCAGCGGCTGCGAGCTCTCTTTTACCGCACCACTCTTCTCAGTCGCTTGGAGTCGCACCTCTTTTCGGATCTGCCTGCAGCCTTAGTGGCCCTGCCACGACCGACTCCAGATTTTGTAAAAATGGGTACTAATATTACCTTGACCAATCCCGAGCCGGAACTGAAGAAGAGTCTCAAATCGGAGCCGCTCAGTGACGACGAGTTTATAGGTACCGTAAAGCAGGAGGTTGAGTTGGAGTACATAGTTCCATAAGAATAATTAAATAGTTTTATAGATAAGCTTTATATGTTTTTATTATTAAGTTATCGCGTTTTACAATAATTAACAAATAATTTATAAACTTGTAGGTACTTTCATTATGTTTCACATATCTCAAAATCAAAAACAGGACCGCATGAGTCCGAAGTGCGAATTGCAACTGGGTGGCTCGAGCTTCTGAAAGTGTTTTAACCAATTATTGTTTCGGTTGGTAAAGGTCAAATAATATGAGGAGACTGCTTTTCTCGTCGTCATGGGAAAGTAAAAGTAAATTCTAAATGAGAAAACGTATGAAAAAAAGGCCCTTATTATTCTTATTGCATAATTTCCTGCAACATGTCATTCTGGTTAAAAAATTTACAAAAAAGAAAACTAAAATCGAAAGAAGAAGAAAATACCTTTTGTTTTCGCAATATTACGTTGACTGATTTTAAAATTAAACAAAAGAAAAATTGCCCAGAATTGTCTCGATATTATCTATATCCTATTTATTGTACATGTGAACAATTCATTGCAAAGCTTTTTTTCGATAGCACTAGCAGGTTGTGGACTTTTTTGGTTTTCTATTTTTCAGCACCTCTCATTGGAAGTTACTGAAATCCGTTTTCAGCTTGATTGTGGGCTTTTGTGGCTTGGCCAGCAGGTTTCTCTGCGCTTCGGTTGCTTTTTGGGCAATGTTTATGGACTGCTGTTGGCTGCGTATGGCCGCTTCTAGTTTTTGTCGCAGTTCCGGCGATTTACTCATTAAGGCCTTAAACTCCTGCGAATATTTAGGTCCGATTTTCAGAAGCCACTGCAGCGCCTGGTCGTGCAGCAGCCTTTGGTACTTGGGCAGCGCCCGAAGACGACTGGGCTCTGCTAGGAATCCAATGAGGACAGGCACCAATAGCGTCAGCATTTGTATGTCTGTGAAAAGGAAGCGAGGTATTTATTAATACTTAAATCAGCTTAAAGCGGAACACATTGAACACCCATTCACTGAGATAGTCATATTGCGCCATTCAGATACATCATACATGCAACATTTAAAGCTTTATTTTTTGTTAGGCATTGAGAACTAGTCGTTTAGCTATTCGATGGAATTTGTGCATAAAGGAACATCACGTGTGCAATATACGTTGCATTTCAAACTACAAGACAGTATTCAAGGTATAATTAAAATTTTTATTTTGAAGAGTAAGAAATTTTTTAAAGAACCGCTCCAAAATTAGATTTTATACTTTTTGTAACCGTTGAATAAGGTTACTTCAAAATATATACATTCAATTCTTGAATTATTATAATCAGTAGTCCACGTATTAACGTTCATAATTTATTGCAAAACGGAAAAATACCATAAGAATTCAAGTTTTAAATAAATAATTAAAACTGTTGCAATTTATAGATAAACAGTGTTATATTTCTGAAACATGAAACGTGTGAATTTTTGGTCAAGCTCTTCTATTTACCTTGTAGTAGGTTCAAGTTTCCTAACGGTTGATTATTTGTTTTTTAGGATTAATGTTTTGTAAATGATTTGTGAGTTGATTAAAATAGAAGACAGAGAAAAGAGCAAATATATAATACCGTAATTTCTTTTCTGTTTTGAAAAGTGTGCAGTTCTTATTTTACGTGTGTTACTTAGTCAATATTTCAGCTGCGTTCGACGGACATTTGAAAAAATGGAAGATATTACAAAGAAACCCAATGGAAAATGCAAATGCTTTTTTTTGTCGAGAAGGTAAAGGATGGCTGTCAAATAGGAAGTCGGGGATAAGGTTATCGCGTTCCAATTTAAAACTAAATTTATTCTAAGAAGGTCTACTCAAAATTTGTCTTTGAAAAAGGTGGACAGTATAATAAAACAAGACAGAACGCTATAGTCGAGTGCCTCGACTATTAGATACCCGTTACTCAGCTAAACAAATTATTATAAATATGCCTTCTTGTATGTTTTTCGCCGCTCGAATTAGCACCTTGGCCAGCTGTTCCAAAGTCATCCGTTAGATGGCGCTATTGTACCACGGGCCATGAAAGGCGGAAATGTAGGCGCCAGGCTTAAGCGTTTAATGGGTTTTTGGGCGTTAGAGTGGGCGTGGCAAACTTTTATTAGGCCAATCGATAGGTATTGACGAAACAAATACATATCAATTAAAATTTTCATAATAGCATCAAAACTATGGCCACAGCTTGTGGCTTGTGGGCGTCAGAGGGGGCGTGGCACCATTTTGAAACAAACTTGCGCTGCGTAGGAACTCCTAAAATCTACATGCAAAATGCCAATCTTCTAGCTTTTATAGTTTCCGAGATCTCAGCGTTCATAGGGACAGACAGACAGACGGACATGGCTAGATCGACTCGGCTAGTGAACCTGAACAAGAATATATATACTTCATAGGGTCGGAAACGCTTCCTTCTACTTGTTACATACTTTTGCACGAATACAATATACCCTTTTACTCTACGAGTAACAGGTATAAATATTTATATTTAGGTTGAATCATTTTTTGCTTTGCAGTTATGATGATTAATTAACCTGTTAAGATCATGGATTAAAAATAAGAAACAAATAAAAATACCAAAATAATTTAAAAGGTTTAATAAAAAGATTTAAGACACCCACAGGAGTACCCCGGAACTAAAAAACTGACTATACTGTCACAACTATCAACTTTAAGACACCCACAGGAGTTCCCCGGAACTAAAAAACCAAAAAAGGTTTCTGAATTATAATCATTTACTTACGATGCTGGGGCTCCGACAAGTCGATAAGCTGCTCCACGGTGACGATGCTCTCGAGGGTGACCTGCAGCTCCAGCTCGCTTGTGGGCAGCTTGCTGGACTCAGCATACAAAGATTCGATCAACCGAGGCGCGAGTGCGTGTATGTAGGGAGTGGCCGTCTTGAGCTCCGCCCGCGCGAAGATCGATCGCGTAGTCTCGATGCAGCGCAGCTTTACGGAGAGATGCTCCGACTGCAGGCACTGCCGAAAGTGATTGATGCAGGGATATTGCAGTGAGGGTGTGGTTACGACGGAAGCGGGCGTGTGTAGGATAAAAACCGTGATTGCCAGCAGCATGGTGACCTCATCGACTCTCCTTTCCTCGTTATCTCCGGCCGTTTTGGTAAGATCCACAATAGTGGCCAGGGCACTCTGAAGCAACTGCTGCCATTCCTCGGAAGTTTCCTCCATTTTCCCCCACTTGTGGACGCACACGGATCGCAAGCACTGCAGGGCAGCCTTCATGGCACTTGTATTTGCCAATATAGTACTATCTATAGCCGACTTATTGGCGATTTCCTTAACAATACTGGTAGTCATGTACAGGACGGTGGGCAGGATAGATAGGGCACCTTTGGGAGTACACAGATCCAACAACTGTTCGACGCACTGCAGACCGCTGGCCACCAGCAGGCCGTTGTCATCACCCAGCACTGAGAAGAAGGAGGTTCCCGTGACCATTTTGGCGTAGGCAAAGTCTAACTGCAGGCCGGAGCCACCAGTTCCTTGCCTCGTAGGGTTCATGCTAGGTATTTGGCGGACAAACAAGCAAAGACAAACCTCCAGAACGGCATAGACATGAGAACTCCCTGGCTGCATCGAGTCATCTTCACCCAGCTGCTCTCCCTCCTTGTCATCTTCAGAATTAGCGTTATCGTCTCGTTGCGTCTCCAAATTTTCCGTCGCAGCTCGAATCGTTTGCTTCAAAATCTCTACGCACAGCAGTTGCACCAGCAACTCGTCTCTTGTCAGAATCTGACGGTGAAGAACGTGACAGAGTTCAATAGTTAGGGCTCGATCCTTGACCAACTGCTTTCTTGCCCACTCCGAATCAAAAATGCTGTGCAACGATCTAAGACAACTCACAATGTTTCTCGGTCTCTCAGAGCTCCTCATGCTGCAGAGAGCCTCCATGCATATGCCAAAAATCATGTGGAAGCGATCTGCCGACAAAGAACCATGTGTTATCTGGTTATTGTTCGATTCCGCTGTAGTTTCACTTGTATCTTGATGGCGTGCAAAACCCTCATCCCTCAGCCACAATGCGGAGGCGTAGAGAATTGGGGGCCAACTAGTCATATAATGTGGTTTTGAGGAGTTAATTGTATCCGTGGTGTAGAAGGCGCCTCCGTCATGAGGGAGTTGGGATTGGAATTCCGACGGGAGCAACAGCAAGGCGTGATCCTTCATGGCACTCAGCCAGTGTGTGGATAGATTGTGAAGCTCCGGTTGCACTAGTACTAAAAGACTCTCTCCTCGACTATCAGGAACATCCTGATCCGTTTCGATATTGGTTAGGGATTGTAACCCAGACTGTTGAGATTGGAGATTCAGGAGGGAAGCGGGAGCCCTTCCATTTCCTAACATGGCCACAATATAGACCTCAGCCCAGGCCTTCAGGATGCTCAGCTTCTCCAGCGTGGCCATGGATTCATTGTACAACTGAGTGCTGTTGGTTTTTAAGGAGAGCTTACTAAGGGAACTCACAAGTAACTGGTGAACTCTTCTTAGATCTCCAATATCGCGAGCCACTCCAGAGCCAATCCAAGCGGAGCAAACTTCACAAGCGGCGGCCGTGACATGTGAAGGCGTATCCTGAGCAAAAGCCGGACGCAAAGCGGCTCCCACTTGAGCCTGAAACTGCTCCAAAAGCAGATGTCCAGGGAACTCTGGTTCTGGAACGTTAGCAAATCTATCGATTATTTCTTGCAGAGTGCGCAAACCTTCTAGTCTCAGTTGATCAGAATCCGATGTGGCGGCCATGAAGGACATTCGAATAAGTTCCGCCAAATGTAAGATGAGATAATCCCCGCGGGAGCGTATCAGTTGCTGTTCCTTTGCCTGCAGGAGATCAAAGTGGACCGAGCTGGCAGCCTCGCAACTAGCGATGATACGCCGAACGCATTGGGCTGCAAAAACACGCGTGGGCCACCTCGGCTGAACCGCAGGATGGGTTGAAGTGTTTTCCTCAGCTCGGTACTCTGTTACATCATCAGCATACTCCTCCTCCTCATCCTCTTCCTCTTGTTCTTCTCCGGCATCTTTGCTCTTCCCCTGTTCTCCGGGACCAAGATCCTCATTTAGTCCACCTTCTACAGCTA